TCACTATGTGACCTTGAGCAAGCTACTTACCTTTTCTGTATGCCAGCTTCCCTGAGAGCAGTATCCTGGGGACAGATGTGGGAGCCATCCCATGTCTGTGAAGTCAAATTTAGATACTATTGTGCCTGGTAAAATCCTTCTCAGTCCTGGCAGCTGGAAGTAGTCACCCCTCCCCAGAGCTCCATGAATATTTTATTCAATTGATTTTATTGTTGGTGTCCTCTTGTTTTTCTTCCACTGATTGTTCTTGGACATCAACAGGACTCGAGATTGGCAAGGTACTAAAACTCAACTCAAAATGGCTTTAAAAAGTGTGTCACAGAGTGAGGAGACCAAGAGCAAATTACTAAATGCAAAGGATCCTGGGTGGGATATTGGCACAGAAAGAGGACTTGAGTGCAGAAACTGATGAAATTCAAATAAGGTCTGTGGTTTAGTTGTCATGTACCAATGTTAATGTCTCAGTTTTGATAATTGTGCTATGATAAAGTAAGATGTTAACATTAAGAGAAAGTTGGGTGAGGGACATATAGGAACTCTGTATTGTTATTGCAATTTTCTCCTAATTCTAAAATTATTTAAAATAAAAATCAGGAAAACCCCACAAATTAATGCTGACCATTTCAATACAAAAGTGGGGGAGGGGACTTATTGGTCTATATATCTGAAAAGGGCAAGGGTATATGGGCTGTAGGCATAGCTGGATCCAGGTGGCTTAATTCTTAGGAAATGTCTCCATCTCAACTGACTCTGCTTCTTTTGTGAAGCTTTATACTCAGCAAGCCCTATGTTTTGTGGTAGCAAACAGCCTTCCGGAACTCCAAGCTGATATTCTGCCGTTTTTGCTGTCTAAGAGTTTGACTTTCTCAATAGTTCTGTTTTGTTCCCTGCTGGGCCTCTAGCTCCTAACTTGGCATATTGAATGAATGGTTCCAGTAAAAGTTTTGAGATCAACTCTCATTGGCTCAGACTGAGTCATGAGTCAATCCCATCAGTGTGACCCACCTGACTTCAGTTACATGTGGGGTCAAAGCTCCCAACACATGGCCTGAGATGGGAGAAGGGTAGTTGCCCGAAAGGAAGAAATGGGTCCTATTATCAGAAGGGTTATAGGCAAAACTAGTATGTCCCCTGCAGCCTTTTCTCCTGGAGCAGTGATTTTCAACCTTTTTCATCTCATGGCACATATAAGCTAATTCCTAAAATTCTGTGGCACACCAAAAATATATATATATGTTTGCCAGTCTGACAAAAAATAGGTATAATTTTGCCCTGGCTGGTGTGGCTCAGTGGATTGAGTGCCTGCCAGAGAACCAAAGGGTCACCAGTTTGATTCCCAGTCAGGGCACATGCCTGGGTCGCAGGCCAGGTCCCCAGTAGGGGGTACGTGAGAGGCAACCACACATTGATGTTTCTCTCCCTCTTTCTCCCTCCCTCTCCCTCTCTAAAAATAAATAAATAAAATATTTTAAAGATAGGTATAATTTTGATTAATTCACATTGGACAGCTATTATTGTGTGGGTTGTCGTCATTTTTTAATTTGACAAACTAAGGAAAAAGAGGTCAGTGCACCTGACTAACTAGTCAGGTAGTGCATGTTTTCAAAACTCTCAAGGCCCAGGGGTTGCAAATCACTGCCCCAGAGCCTCCTGCAACACAGACTGACACTGAAACGAGCAGGCCGGAGTTCTCATGGGTGCTGGATGTGCCGAGCTGTCCAGCTGCAGTCCCGGGACAACCGCCCTAGTGGAGGAGAAGCACAGGGCTCCCCCGTGGGGTGCTGGGCTTCTTGCGGCTGGATCAGATGGCGCTGGGTGTCAGGGAAGAGGACCACCATGGCCAGAGATGACAGATGCAAGGATTCCTTCCGGGCCAGGACAGTGGTCAATCCCAGGTATGGGGCACTTCCAGTCTATCCTTCTCAAACCTGGCCGGGAGCCTCTGACATAAGGTCTCATTTGTTCACTTGAATTGGGGTAGCATGGAGAGAGGGACAGGGCTGGCCCGAGCATCTGGACATCTTAGATGAGTGCTTTCTTCCCTATATCCAGATATTTCTCCAGTGGGAGAAATATCCACTGAGTGTACTCTATAGAGTCTCAGCTTCCAATCTCACCCAACCCACTGGCTGACTCCCAAACCACTATCTCCTCCATATCCTCCTGGACACCTGTGGGGACAGGGGTGGGGTGGGGTGCCCACAAAGAAGTCTGGCTTGTGGATTTTTCAGATATTTTATTAAGAATAAGGCATATGACAATCACCCCTAAAGCACAGGGCTCTATTTCTGTGGGTGAGTGAATACACTCTGAAAAGCATTGGATTAAAAAGCACAGCCAACAGAGAATTTGGAGCAGGATGCCTCTGCCCTGCCCTGCCCATCTCCCATTCAAGGCTGGCACCACCATGAGCAAGTGCTCAGAGATCCCCGGCTCTCTGCACTGAAGAGGTGCTCCACACCCCTAGGCCTCCTTCCTCTCCACAAAGGCAGCCTTCATTCTGCAGCTTATGTGGGGAAGAGCTACCCCCTAACAGCCCTGGACTGGTTTCCCAAACTGCAGGCTACTGCGGGTGGGATATGGGGAGACAGGGGCACAGACCCTCACACGGTATTGCCCACTGGTCCCTACCTGCAGCTCTCCTTCCTGGGTCTGTCTACACTTGGAGTGTGGCTGGAGCTCCAACCAGGGCCCCTGATCATCATGTCAACACGCTCCTCTCCCAATGGGATCTGTGCAAAGAAGAGGGATGAAGAAACAGTCCTTTCCCTTCTTGTCACCTAAGCATTCCAAGCTTAGTTTGGTGGGGGGGTCCCCCACGCTAGGGGAAGGGAGGGGGCGCCAGAAGCTGAGGGCAGGCCACTGTCTCCAGTCCCATTCTGCTCCCTGAGGGTTTTGTTCCAAACCTGGGGCAGGGCAGAGGGGTAGAGGGGAGTCTCTAGTCCAGGAGAGGGATGGGAAAAGGGAATGTCTGTTAAAATTGGATCCTGTATCTGCCCCAGCTTGCTGAGTGGAGTGGGAAGGGTTGTCTTATTTCCTTTCCCAGGCGGAGAGTTGAGTCAGCCGCCCTAGCACTTAGAGCCTTTCATCTGGGGGATCTCCAAGCACCCCACAGACAGTGAACTGTCATTACCTCTAGTTGTTGGAAGAGGGACAGGAGTTGGGAGGTGCCAATCAGGGTCACTTCGGGAGAGGCAGGCGGGTCACCTGAGGATCCCTGGGGTGGGGGTTTGGTAGGGGTCTCCAGATGGACACCTTGGGTTCCGGAGGGAGAAGGAAGAGGGCTATTGCTATAGAGCTGGGGGAGGCCAGGTGGGGACAGCTATGGCTTTTAGTGGGCAGGTGGCTAAAGTATTTCACCATCTCTGTAGAAGAATCAACATGACAAAGTCACCCTGTTCACCCCAAAAGTGTGGTTGTAAAGATGAGGGCTTGGGTGGGAACCTCCAGAAAGGCACCCTTTCCCTCCTTTCCACAGTCCTCTGAGCCCTTCCAGTGAGTACAGCTGAGAGAGAGAGGCCTCCTCACCCAGTCACACTGTGAAAGGGGGTTGACAGGGTACACTGAGTTACACACCCTGGAGGGGAGACACAGAGACTGGGGAGGGTAGGGACAGGGGCAGGTGGAGCAAGGACCCTAGGCCACTACTGTGGTCCAAGTTAGACTGGACAGCACTGTCTGTCCCAAGGGTGCCAATACCTTGGCCTCTGCATCCCAGTGGCTGGACACTTCGACCAGGCTGGTTATTACTCAGCGGTCTCAGCAGCCCTGAGTGTGGCAGGCTGGGGCGGGCACTGTGTATGTGGGGGCTGGGAGTGTGCGCCTGGGCTTTGCTTCTGGCCGATTTCCCACTCCCTCTAACATATGGAGTGAAAGAGGGTATGATTGGGGATTGCCCCTCTTCTTCATGGGGGCTGTGATGCGAGAAGGGCTTATCTCACCTAGACATTGGCTCTGCTCTCCTCGTGGATCCCTGGGTGACACAGAGAAGGCTCAGCCTCAGCCAGGGTCAGGGCCTGCCAAGACGGGGTGTTTGCGAGTGAGGTAGAGAGAGACCCCTCCCTCCCCCATGCCCGCCCTCTGTAGTCCCTGGAAGACCTCACAGGCACTTAGGACTCAATGCAGGACCTGCAGGACCAACAGACAGATGGCTTGTGGGTGGGGTTTCTCCTTCTTTCTAGGCTGGACTTGGAGGGAGGGCAGAGCTGAACTGGAAACTGCCTTTGGTCATGACAGCAGAGCAGGGGAGAAAGGCAGCCAGCAGGTGGGACATTCCACTTTCCCTTTTGCCACTCCTCAGCTTAGACAGAAGGGCTCTGGGCACCCCACCACTGTCAGGTCTGACAGTACTGGGACATCCCTGGACGGGGCCAGGCTGGGGACTTCCTCCCCAGCAAACTCAAACCTCTATCCATGGTCACTTCCAGGAAGCCAGGCCCTTCCTCCAGACTCTGGGTGCATCCAGCTAATGAGGGAGCTGGGTGAAATTAACACCAAAACACAGGACTAGGAAAACTCCCAGGGTGCCTTCCGACTCCCAGCTACCTCCTGAAGGCCATTTCTGCCCCTCAGTAGGCCTGAGTGTCCTTCATTTCCCCAGCACAGCTCCCAGTCTAAATCCCTCAGTTGCCCCCCCTCCCGCCCCCACCTCCCCGTAGGGGAACTGCGTTGGAGACAGCTCTAGACTAGGCTTGGCCACCAAGCCCACCCATAATGTTAAGGGTCTGTGGCGCTACCTTCCAGAAGGTCAAACTTCCATCAGGCTATACTTTCCCCACCAGAGACTCTGGGAGGAGGTGTCTTCTAAAGTGTTAGGTGCTCATCTGTAAGGATCTATTAGCGGGATAGGGGGAGGAGAAGCGGCTCAGAGGAGAAAGGTCCAGCCTCTAGCCCCTGGACCCGAGCCTCTCCTAGGAGGAAGGCTTGGAGGGAAGGGCAGCGGGGCGGGGCTGTGGGAGGCCGCGGGGGACTGGGGTGGGGTTGGGGAGGGGTACAGCTGGAAGGCCTAGGGGTGCTAAGTGCTACTCCGGTTCTTTTCCTTAGGACAGCCCAGCATTCCCCTTCCCGCCTAACGATTGTCAGTTTTCCCGGGACGGGGCGTGAACCCCGCCCCTCCCCTCCCAGTGGCAGGGTGGGGATCAGTTAACGATCAGTATTGCGAGTCCTCTACCCAAAAGGTGCACTCGCGGAGCCCCGCAGAGGAGCTCCTTCGCGTGAGGGGAGAGCTCGAAGCTTCGAAAACGTTGGGAAATACAAAAGGCTGGGGGAGGTTGGAAGGGATGGAAGAGCCGGGGCTGTCGCAGCCCGCTGCCTGGAGGAGGGACCAGCTCCCTCGGCCCCCCAAGCCCTGTCTGCAAGGGCCAGCCTCTCCCGCTCCCTGCCGCCCGGCAAGCGCCGCGCCTACTCCGGGGCCCCGGGCGCACTGGGCGCAGGGGGTGGGTCAGCTTGGTCCGGGGGCTCCTGGGGTGGCGGTTGGCGCGGGCTGCGGCCGCTGGGCCGTGGGGGCCTCCGGGCGTTGAGGAAGAGCGCGGGGTCGGGCATAGGATCGGTGTCGTCCAAGGCGCAGGCCGCGCGGTCCCAAGAAGCCCAGTCCCGGCCGGAGGGGCCCTTGGAAGCGGCCTCCGTAGCGGGCGGGCGGCGAGCCCGTTGCGCGCGCCGGCGGGGTCGGGGTTCAGCGGCGGCGCCGGGCCCCGGGCGCGGTGTCTGCAGTCTCTGGCGTGCGGCGTGCAGCTGGCAGGAGAGATAGGCGGCCGCCTCGGTGTGCTTCTGCAGCTCAGTGCCCAGCACGGTGGCACGGTGGCTGCGACGACGCAGCTCCTCCAGGAAGCGGCGCTCTTCCGCCCGCAGGCTGCAGCGCAGCGCCGACACCAGCGCCTCGCGTTGCGCCACCTCCCGCCGAAGCTCGGAGTTGGCCGCCGCCCGCTCCGCCAGCTGCGACTCAAGCTCCCGGCACCTGCTCTCTAGCTCACGCGACGCGGCCTCTGGAAAGGGGAGATAAGAGAGGTGATGGTGAGGATGGTTCACCCATCCCCCCAACAAAGCCTTGCGAATCCCCAGCTCTCTCTCACTCCCCTTGGGCACATCAGCCTCACTTTTTCCTCCCCAGGCCCTTTGCATCTATCCCACTCTTTGCTGGCCCTTCCTCCAATGCTTGGGATTTCAGGGGTGCCCAACCGGCTGCCCAGGATGGCTGTGAATGTGGCCCAACACAAAATCGTATTTACTTAAAACATTACGAGATTTTTTTTTGTGATAACCTGTGTTGCAACATATTTAATGTGTGGCCCAAGACAACAATTCCTCTTCCAGTGTGGCCCAGAGGCCAAAAGGTTGGACACCCCTGGAACTCCCCCTGACCATTTTATTTACCCCACAAAGATTTGTTGCGACTTTTCCTTGTGCACTGTGTTAGGCCCTGGGGCTATGGTGGATAAAAACAAATATTCCTCATGAAGCTTACAGCAGGCACAGTGGGAAAAGTATAGGGCATGATTACAAATGCAGGTGAGATTCCTATGTGACATGTGGCATGTACCAATGCCGTGACTAAAGGAGAATGTGGCCTAATCAGAGAAGGCTTCCCAGCAGAAGAGTGACTCGGGCTAGGCTCTGAAGAATGAATAGAAGTAGGGAAGAGGGGGAGAGGACAGTGCTTGGGACAGAGGGAACAAGTTGTGCAAAAGCCCTGTGGTGGGAGAGACATCAAAGAGCAAGGGATGGAAAGAACTGGGAGTGTGGGCAGGGAAGGAGAGCGAGTGTGCTAGAACCTTGTCTCACAGAGAGTTACTGCATTTTGTGCTTTTTTATTTGTTTGCCTTTGCCCACGGTACTGGGTTTCAGAACCCAGGATATACACTGGAACCATCCAGAGAGCTTTAAAAAAGTGTCCCCGGGCCCTACCAAGGACGGGTTGAATCAGAATCTCTGGGACTGAACATGGGAAGTGGCACCTCTTAAACCTTCCCGGGTGACCCTGATGGACTCTGAGTTGAGGGCCCCTGCTCCTGGATCGTTAGTTCCATTTCAGCAGGAACGGCCCTGAGATTGGCACATGTGAGTGAGCGAGCGTAAGGACAAAGGTAGCTGAAAGGTGACAAAAGGTAGGTAAAAGGTTGCCCACAGTTGCCGCTTGAAGAAGTGAGCAGAATTCTTTCAAGTCGTTAAGTGTTTAGATCTTTATACACACCCCCCAAAATCCATTTGTGGGCTCCCAACATTTTCTCCTTCAATTTCCAGCTTTCCCGCCCCGAACTCTTGACCTGTAGCTCTTTAACTATAAGCAGCACATGGGGGGGGGGCAGGGAGTCCATCCTTAAATCTCTCCTGACTAAGAAACACCATTTTTGCAGTTCATTCTCAGTGAAGCATTTACAGAATCCCTCCCACATCAGCTAGCGCGTCTTGCACTTTGAGACAATGGGTGCCTTGCAGTTCTGATGTTTAGAGATTGTACAGTCTGGTGATTAAGATCTCAACAATGCAACCCTTTTTATTAAAAAAGTTTTATTTCTGGTAAAAATAACAGAATTTACCATCCTATCGATTTTTAAGTGCACAGTTCAGCAGTGTTACGTATACTCAGAGTGTTGTACAGCAGATCTCCAGCACTTTATCTGCCAAACTGAAACTGGATATCCACTTACTACCACCTCCCCACCCCACCTGCCATTTTATGCGTGAAGCAATAAGTTGTAAAAAAAAATATTTTAGTGGCATTGTTACACTGGCCAGAAGCTATGCTTTTGTAAAGTGAAGGATTTGCTAATGTGCATGTGCTTCTTTTCTCCTCTAGGCTCAGCTCCATCAAGTCAAGGACCTCATATTGTCATTGTGTTCCGTCTTGACACTCAGCATCCTGGAGGATGGGGACACCGGTCATGGGAATCACTTGTGGTGTGCAAGGGTGGGAGACACTGGTGAAGTGGGTGAGGAATGGCTCCGGCCGTGGACCTCCTGGACACCTTCTCCTCCGGGCTTTCATTCTCCTCTTTTCGCCAAGAGCATGGGTGCAGGGCACTATGTGGGGGGTGCAGGCTGCTCACTGTACAAGGTCATGCAGCAAAATGGGCAGGTGGGGCCACATCCTACCTATACTGTGCTTAACACGCTGAGGAGTGTCTGTCCCCTTCTCTGGACACAGAAGGCTTGGGTCCTGCTAAGTGGTGTGGAAAGGTGACCTGTTGGGCCCCCATGACACTTCCCCATCAGTCATCCTCCCCTTACCTTGCTGGTGAGATTGGGCCTCTCGCATCTCCAGGTCATGGGTCAGTTCTGGGGGGAGAGAAAAGAAGAGGCAGTTGTGTGTGTGTGTGTGTGTGTGTGTGTGTGTGTGTGTGAGATACAGACACAGCGTCTGGCAGGAGTAACACCCACTTGAGAGTGTTGGTGGGGTAATAATATGGGTGTAATAATTTACAGTTTTAATTTGAACATTCCACCTAAAACATCACATGGTGTGCTTGAGTGACAGTGTTATGTTACAGAATTACATGCTTATGATTTTGCAATAGAAGATTTTGTAATGAAAAAAGGGATGTTATTTGTGCTGGACTCTGTGTGTACCACACACGCACCCCGGGGAATCACAGCTCAGGAAAAGTGGCAATAAGGACCCTTAGAAAGTGTGCAGATCCACCCCCTTCTCCACTTGACTAGAGCTCAGCGAGGGGAAGAGATGAAGAAAGGCGCCAAGGCACAGTCTGAGCCTGACCTGCCTGATTCTGAGCCCAGAGATCTTCCCAGTGCAAGCTTTGTGGCCCAGATTTGGGGGTTAGTTCGACCCTGGTGGAATTGAGGAGCCTGGCTTGCTTTGGGGGCTGGGTGAGCATCGCTCCTTCTCCAGGGTGGTGTACAAATATTTAACATGCCCACCAATGAGAGCTGGTCTGAAGGACCTCCTACTGCACAGGGCACAGAGGCTTTAGTGTTTAGTTGGTGGATCCGGGAAGGCTGGAGTGTCTTGGGATGCATGAGGCCACTGAAGGGGGCTCAAGGTAGAAGCTATGTACCAACAGGACACACGTGTTCCACTGTTTTCACAGTCAGTACTGCTGTGCCAATGTTATTTTTCGAACACCAGCTCTGCCCCTTTCCCAGCCAGGGGTCCTCCAGGCTCCACCAGAACAGCGCCACCTGGTGATGAAAGGCCTGCAGGGCTCTTGGCACCATGTGTGTGGGTTGGCACTGGGGGTGCAGGGCAGCCAAGGAGCCTGCCAAGGGTGCTAGTGCCTGAGCAGATTCCTCCTGGGCCTGGCAGCTGGTCCACACCTCTTTGCCTGCTTGTCTTCTCAGCCCCACTCCTTACAGGCCAAAAAGCCTTATCCCTCAGCCAGTCTGACCTTGCTTACTCCCCCATTCCCCCAACTCCCCCAGTAGCTGGGAAAGGGGCACGAGGGAGCTGGGGAGCCACAGCTGCCTGGGTGAGGGCACCTACTCAGGAGCACCTTTGTGTACCTGCAGGAGCTCAGTTGGGTGCCCAGCGGGAGAAGGTGTGAACGTGGGGTGGGAGAAGGTAACACATCTCGGGGACCGCCCCTGCAGCAGCACCTGCAGAGACAGCCTGAGGGCCCTCACCAGCTCTTCTAGAGACCAGGGTCTTTGCCGGGGCGCCTTCCCTGGGGAGGCCAGCTGTTGCTAGGAGACAGAGGGGTGGGGTACCTGGGGCTTTTGCTGTGACCGAAGCCTGAACCTCCTTCCCAGGGCCCCTGGAGGACACTGATGCCTCTATGCTCAGAGCTTCCTGGGACCAAGTCAGCCCCTCCTCCAAGGCCCTGCACTGTAGCTCAAGGGAACGTGGAGCAGGTTCAGGGACATAGCCCAGGGACTTTGGCTCTGCTGTTAACTCCCTGTGGGCTGGTTTCTCCTGGCCCTTAATCACGGGAGCTGGAGGAGGGGAGATAAATCTCAGCTGGACTCCACTCTCCCATCCATCAAAGCTCCCTGCTCATCTTCTGGTCAGAGTTCCCTCAGTTTAGAAGAGCATTCTGTGAGGTCAGATGCACTGTGACCTTGGGCCAGCACCTCTCTGAGCCTCGGTTTTCTCCTCTGCAAAATGGGGACAGAACTCCTGCCTCACATGGGGCTGTTGCAGGGATTAAATGAGAGAAAGGAACAGAGGGTTCAGCCCAGGTCTGAGTCAGTGCTGAACGCACGGGGGTTGTTCTTGTTGTCATCTGGCTGCCCCGGCACCCGGAACACACTCTCCCACCTCCCAGCCCTTCACTCTGAGTCTTCACCTCTTTTCCACAGGCTCTTGCAGCGCCCTGCCCCTTGGCTACTACACTGGCCCCTCCGTTCTCCCATCCCCTTCCTAGCCTCCTGAGCCCTCTTGCATCTCTCTCTGTCACTCTCTCTTTTTAAAAAATCTCTTTTGTTCTGGCTCTCTTCTCACTCCCCCACCCCTTGTAGGGAGGGCTGTGTTTAGTCATTTCAGCCCCAAGAGTGGCTGCCCTAGGTCAGCCCAGTTATTTTTTTAAAATTTTACTTTGGAAAGGAAGGGAGAAAGAGAGGGAGAGAAACATTAATGTGTAAGAGATACATCGATTGGTTGCCTCTCGCATACTCCCATTTGCCCCCATCTGGGGACCTGGCCTGAAACCCAGGGATGTGCCCTGACTGGGAATTGAACCGGTGACCTTTGTGTTTGCAGGCCAGCAATCAATCCGCTGAGCCACACTAGCCAGAGTTATTTTTATCTCCGCAGTCAATAACATAGAGACTGCAGGCCCACACCCATCTGAGAAGAATGATGGGGGCTGAGGGCCCTGTGTTCCTATTATACCTTCTTGGGATCCTTGCCTGTGTCCTGAGTGGAAGGACCCAGGTCTTTAGAATCAGGGCGAAATTAAAATAAATTAGAGGAAGAGCCTATAGGCTCTTAGGGTTGGCTCATCTTGATTTTCCGTTAATGTCACTGCAGTGAAAAAGTGGCGCCAGGCAGGGGTGAGTTGGCGTGGGGCTGGCTCTGCTGCCACGCAGGCTTTGGGGAAGTTGCAGGGAGCCTGGCCTTGGCGTGGGGCAGCTGAGCCTGCACATGCAGTGGGAGAAGTCTGTGGGGGCTGAGTCAGGACAGCCGGATTTTCAGGCCAAAGTGAGAAGCCAGGCGGGTCACTCAAACATTCTGGGCCTCAGTTTCCCTCTGGAAAATGAGGAGAGGCTGGAAGGGCAATAGAATCTGACCATCTTGGGGAGAGAATGTGTAGAAAACTGCAGAGGCACACAGGACCAGAAGTCTGGAGATTTGGGTTCTAACCTTAATTCTGCTGTTGACATATTATATGACTCTCTCTCTGGGCCTCAATTTACCTACTTTTATGATGAGGCGGTTGGGCTGTTCCAGCTGAGATGCACTGTGAGTCACTGACCTGAGGCCTGCACGGGGAGACTTGGCCTGGGTGAGCCCTTGGGTCAGGGCCAGGTCTCGGGGAGGGCCAGGCATCTGAGACCTGAGGTCCAAGAGGGACCTCAGGCCTGGGATTTAGATTCGTCTTCGGTGCCTTCTTCCGTCCTGCTCACAGATTCAGCTGGTTGCCAAGTCCTTTCCTTCCCTCTGCTTCCCACAGGTCCTCCTCTACCCATGCCCCTTTGTCTCTCCTCTGCACCATTTCATCAGCCCCCCTGCGAGTCTCCCTGCCTCTGTGTCCCACCAACTCACCTTCCTGGCTGAGTTTCCTAAGGCAGCACAATGCTGCTCCAAAACCTCCTGTGGCTCCCTGCTACCCAAGGGGACAGGCCACACTTCGTAGCTGTCTTGGTATTTGTTGAGATCTTCCATGATCTGGTTCCAGCCATATTTCTCACCAGTCTCCTTTCAGTTCAGCTTTATCCATCCAATTTAACTTCTCCTAAGCTTTTGGTTTCCTTCCTAAGGACTTTGCCATGCTGTTCCTTTCATTTGGAATGCTTTCTCCGCCCCCATTCCTCCCTAACATCTCAGCATGTCTAAATCTTACTCAGCCTGGAGGGAGTGGAAATGCTTCCCCCCCTTTCAGCCTGGCCCCTTCCTTCATCACCTGCACCTCGAGCTGGACATGATCCTGCCCATGAACTCCCATCAGCCCTGTTTACTTTCTGTGTATCTTAATATTCTCCCTGTGTGTGTGTGTCTCCCCACCTAGATGGAGGGCTTCTTAGGGCTGGGAGGCACTTGATGAACATTGATTAAAAAAGGACAGGAAATTCCCAGGAATGGTTCCCAGGTTTCCCTCTGCTACCGAACCAGAACCCTGTGCCCCAAAACTCATCTCTCACCTCCCCGAGACTCAGTTTCCTCATTCAGAAAAATGGGTGATGAACACCCGCCTGGCAGGAATGTTGTGAGGCTTGAGAGGCTCACAGTGGACCCCCCATCAGTGACAATGATTGTGAGGATGACAGTCGCCCCTGCCACCCCTGCCCCCAACCACCCAGCCACCCCTCCTGGCCTCACCTGAGCAGCGTTTCTGCAGCCTCAAGATTTCCAGGTGCAGGTCTCGCAGCAGGGCCATCTGCTCTTTTTTCAGGAAGCTGATGTGGCGTTGCACGCTCTGGATCTGGTGCTCTAGGGACACGGTATCCATGGCAACCCAGGCCTGGGCCCCACCTGGGGAGGATGACAAGGTGAACCCACATCTTCTGGGCCCATGTGCCCTGCTCACCCTCAGACCCCTCACAGACTCCTCCAATCTGGGGGCCTGTTGCTGCCAGGTGGACAGTTCTGCCACTGTGGTCATTTCCCCTGTTTTTACTCACTAGAGCTTCACGCACAAGTGGGTGTGTTGGCAGGGACACATAGTTCTGCCCATTTAACAGACAAAGAACAAGAGGCCCAGAGGGAAATGGCTTCACTGCCCCACCCCATGGTCCCTTCTGCTTCTCAGAGAGGAAAGCCAGTGGAGCAGCAAAGTCAGTAAAGAGAAACAGAGACGGGTTCTAGCCTGCTTCTCAACCAGCTGTGTGACTTTGGGCAAGCCTTCTCTCTCTCTCTGGGCTCTTGGTTTTCTCATGGCCAAACTGAGTCATTCAGTAGAAGAACCCCGAGGTCTCTTTCAGCTCTGCCACCCCTCAAGCCTGCCAGCTCAGGGGTGCCATCACATGGCAGGGCAGCAGCACAGTTCTGAGCACACCCTGTCCCGGTTCAACTCCGTTTCTGAGTGAACCTCCAGCCAGGGCTCTGGGCTCTTCTGGGTCACAGAGGAGGAAGCTCTGAGAATGTTTTACTAACACTGACTTTGTGGGCTGAAGGCAGTGGGAGAGGGGAGGGTGCTAAGGAGACCCATGCAGTGAACCCAAGGTGCAACTTAAGACATTGGTGGGAGGGGACATTTGCACCCCTGGATCCTGATGATGGCCTGGCCTTTCAGTTCTCCCTCTTCTGGCTCCACCCCTTTCCCATGAGTCTCTCCTGTGGTGATGAGTGTCCGGAAAAGCAGAGGCAGAGCGGGGTGGAGGCCCAGACCCCTGGAGCCCAGGACCCAGAGCGCATGCCTTCCCTGCCAAGGACTCCTTAAACTTTGGAAGAACCTGCCCTCACCTGTCCCAGGAATGCCCTGGGTTTGGAGAGGGAGGCCAGTTGATGGACGGCTCCATTCAGTAAATGGTCCCCTCCAGACTGGCTTCCATGTAAGTCTCTGCAAACCCAGATTTTTGTTTGTGGGGTTACACCAAGCGGGTCCACCTGAGACCCTTGGTCACAGGCTCCTCTTTCTGGGCTCCCTTCCTTTGTGTCCTCCAGCCTGCCCCCTCCCGGGACAACCAACTAGGCCTTTCTTTTCAGCAGAGGGTGGCCCTTTGGTCGGTAAGAATTGCTACATTTACGGACCATCTGCTACGTTTAAACAACTTTATACACATTATCTTACTTCTGCCAATCATTCTTCAGTAGGTATGACCACCCCCATTTCACAAACAAACTTAGACTCAGAACTGAAGTGACTTGTGCCAGGTCACGTGGTCAGTGAGTGGTAGCAGATCCAATTCTCCAACCAAATCTTCTGAATCCAAAAAAGGTTCCCAATATTTACACTGAGGACAATCTTGGGTTTGAATCCTGACCTTCCAGTTACCTGCTGTGTGACTTTGGGCAAGAAGGTTAACTTCTTTGAGCCTTTTCCTCTCTGTAAAATGGGGTTACTAATAGTAACAGTGAGGATTAAATAAGATTAAAGAGAGTGGAGCGCTTATCCCAGGACCTGGCTCAACCAGTCATACACCCCTTCCCATTTCCATTAAATATGTAAGTAGGTTAATCCCTGTCTTGATTTGCTCTTCTTTTCACCATTCACTCACTCAATGAGTTACTGTTGCCAACTGCTCTGCTGGGTATGGGGAAGACTGATGAACAAAACTAAATCCTTACTCTCATGGAGCTCACAGGGCTAAAGGGAGAGAATCAAACAAACAAAAAATGTATCTCACAAATAATAATACAAATAAGCTTACAATTATAATTTGTGATAGGTGCCACGAAAGAAACCTACAGTATAATATGGAAGAATACAAAGTGGGACCTATTTTATTTAAATTTTTAAATTTATTTTTATTTTTGATTTTAGAGAGAGGAGAAGGGAGGGAAAAAGAGAGGGAGAGAAACATCAATTGGCGGCCCCCCTTACATGCCCTGACCAGGGGCCAGACCCGCAACCCAGGCAGGTGCCTTGACCTGGAATCGAACTGGTGACCCTTCACCCCGCCAGACAACGCCCAACTAACTAAACCACACCAGCCAGGGCTAAAGTGGGACCTATATTAGATCTTGGGTAAGAGAAGGTCTCTTGGAGGAAGTGATTTTAGGCTGAGAGCTCATGGCAGACAGAATTCTAAGAGTGTCCCCAGGATTCCCAGCTCCTGGTGGTAATGCCCTCCTATGTCACCCCCTCCCCTTGGGTGTGGGTGGGACAGGGAATATAACAGTTTTCACTCCTGTGATTAGGTTTATGACAGGGGTGCAAAGATTGTGCAGGTGTAATTAAGTTCTCCAGTAAGTTGCTTTGAGTTAATCAAAAGGGAGATTATCCTGGGCGGGCCAGTTCAAAGGGCCCTTGCTGAAGAAGAGATCTGAAGCCTGAGAGAGATCCTGCAGGTGGCCTGGCCGAGCTAAACTGCCGTGCTAGGGAGCCTACGGAGGGAGTGGCATTCAAGGACCCAAGAGAGGCTCTAGTTTAGTAGCTGGGGGTGGTGCCTGGTTGACAGCGAGCAAGACCGTGGGGCTTCCATCCTACAACCACAAGGAAGTAAATTCTACCAACGACCTAAGGATCCTGGAAGTGGATCTCTCCCTAGGTAAGCTTTCAGATGAAGATGCAGCTGGTCTTGATTTCAGCCTTGTGCAGAGGACCCAGGAGAAAGTGCTAGACTTCTGATTCTTGGAGACTGTGAGGAAATACATTTATCTTGTTTCAAGCTACTTAGTTTGTGGTACTTTGTTATGCGGTGGCAGAAAAAACGTAATACAGACTTGAACAAAGGGCAACAGTTAGTCAGAAGAGTACTGGGAAGAGCATACCAAACAGGAACAGCATTTGTAAAGGCCCAGAGGTAGGATAATAATGGTAGCTGACATTTACTGAGGGCCTACTAAGTGCCAAGCCCTATGTGGTAAGTGCTTCACAGTTCTTTTTGAGAAACAGTGGCACTGCCAACTGCTGATGAAGGCTGATGTGTAAGGAATTGGGAGAGGGTTGCAGGAAGTGAGGTTAGCAAGGAAAGGACCACACAGTGTCTTATAAACTATGTTAAGAATTTTGGATAAATACTGAAAGAATTGGGAAGTTATTAAAGGATTTTAGGCAACGAGAGACATGATTTGCATTTTAAAAAGATCACCGTGGGCCCTGGCTGGTGTGGCTCAGTGGACTGAGCACCAGCCTGCAAACCAAAGTGTCATCTGTTCGATTCCCAGGCAGGGCACATACTGGGTTGCGGGCCAGGTCCCCAGTAGGGGGTGTGTGAAAAGCAACCACATACTGATGTTTCTTCCTCTCTTCCTTTCTCTCTCTCACCCCCCTTCCCCTCTCTCTAAAAGTAAATAAATAAAATCTTTAAAAAAGATCACCATGGTTACCATGGGGAGGGCAGATTAGAGGGAGCAAAGTGGATACAGAGATGGGGGAGAATGTAGCAGTGGTCCAGGTGAGAGATGACGGCGGCCTGGACCCCACGATGGAAGGAGAGATGGAGAGAAGTTCAGTTCCAGGTGTGTTCTGGGGGTAGAATTGGCAAGACATGGGGACAGATTGGATTAGGTCAGTGATTTTCAACCTTTTCATTTCAAGGCACACAAACTAATTACTAAAATTCTGTAGCACACCAAAAATATATTTTTTACCACTCTGATAAAAAAGTTGTTATAATTTTGATTCATTGACACTGGACAGCTATTGTTATGTTGGCTGTTGTCATTTTTTTATTTGACAATCTAAAGAAAAAGAGGTCAGTGCCCCTGACTAAATAGTCAGGTATTGCATGTTTTAAAAATTCTTACAGCACACCAGGTGAAAATCGCTGAATTAGGCCATGATGGGGAGGGGGCTGTCCAGGATGTTTAACGGTTTTCTGGCTTGGGCAGCTCAAGTATGAAAGCACATTTGCTGGACTTTCCCTCCTTCCTCATCTTTCATATCGGATGTTTCCTCTATCTAAGCACTCCTAAGGTGATCACGTCCAATCCCATGGCCGTAGGTTTTATTTACACGTGGCTCGGTGAGCTAACTTTCCCCTGAACACTAGACGGACTACCCAGTACACCTGTCTGGGCGTCTAACGGGCCCTCAGACTTGTAGGTCCCAGCGCTCTGTGATCTCTCCTGCACACCTGCTCTCGCCTGCCATTCGCCATCCGGGTGGACGGCCCTGCGACTGGCTTCTTCACTCAGCTGCTCGGGACAAATGATCAGGAGTCGTCTTTTAGTCATCTTTGTATCCATTTGCAAATCCTGTTGGCTCTATCTCCAGAAAACATCCTAAATCCGATCAGTTGTCACCTTATCCACTGTGATTCCCTAGTCCTTGTCACCACTGTGCCTCCACTGCAGTAGTCTCCTAACTGGCTTCTTGCTTCCCCTCTGACCCTTGTTTCCATGCAGCAGCCAGAGTTCCTTTAGCAAATCTGACCAGGTCACCTGTCCCTCGCAAAAACCCTCCAATGGTCCCATCACACTTGGAGTCAAGTCCACAGTTCTCACCAGACCTTACACACCATCCCCGGCTCTGTTTACCCTCATCTCCTGCTGTTCTCCCACTGCTGGCTCCGTCCCAGCCCCTCTGGCCTCCTTGCTGTTTCCCGAACATGCCAAGCACACCCTTGCCTCAGGGACTTTGTATGTGCTGTCCCCTCTAGCAGGCATGCCCTGTGCCAAGATACCCTCATGACCCGTCTCTCCCTTTATTCAGGACTCTGTTCAAATGTCACGTAATCAGGGTCCGTCTCTGATTATCTGATTTAGCATAGGCCTCTCTGCCACTCTTCACTCCCTTAATCGGCATTTTCTTCCAGGACTTGATCACCACATGCATATGTTACATTTTTGTTTACTGTCTGTTTCCCCTGCCAGACTGTTGGCAACACAGGATGAAGGACTGTTTTGTTCCCCAGTACCTAAAACAGAATCTGGCAAATAAGAGGTACTCTGTAAATATCTGTGGAACGTACGAGTGAATGATTTTGTGGAGCTGGGGTGAGGTGATGTGGGGGGCAGGTTTACCGAGAAGGTGAGATCCAGCGTGAGAATGCTATGTTTGATGTGCCCCGGAGACCTCAGACAAGGAGAAATAGATGTCAAGTGAGCAGACAGATATACTGGGGCATCACTCGGGAGAGACAGGTGAGCTCTGTCTGTGCTCTTGTCTGTCTACGTGGGGACGTGTGTGCCTGTGTGTTTGCACGTGTACCTGAGCCCACATGTGTGTGCGTGCATGTGTGCAGGGGGTGCTGACTCTGTTGAATCTGTGTGTCTGCTGTGTGCACAACTGGAGGATGAAGGTGTGTGGGCCGGTGGTGCCTATGATGAAGAGAGAAAATGTCTGTTCCCAGCTGCTGGAATGCAAATCTTTCAGAAGAGTCAAAGCCGTTCCACACAGCCCTGGAGGCTGGACCCTGGCCACAGTGACAGACTGAGCCAACCAGCTGTTTGCGCGCCTTCCCAGAAGGACCTGAGTATTTCCTTCCAACTAGTCAGGCTGCTCTTCTCAGGGCAGAAATTTGGGTCACAAACGATCTTGGCAAATATTCTTTCTTGGACATTATTGTTCAGTTTGTTTGGGGGAGCACGGGAGATGGAGTGGGGAAGAGGGAACCAGGGACAAAGCAGATCTCCTGTGTGTGGCTGGGGGGTCACATGTGCTTTGGAAGACCCAAACCAGAAAAAGTGTCAGGTTTTCACATAGAAATGCAGTCCCGGAATCTCCCAGTTTCAGGACCTCGAGTCTGAGGACAAGGTCCAGGCCAGTAACAGCAGCTGAGGGGTAAGAGCTATCAGCTCCATCCCCTGTATGACACACCTCAGATCTGGGAAAGTTACAGGAGCATTTGAGGTCTTGCTTCCCTGGAGGTAATTTTTGGCTCAAATAAATTCAACTCAATTTGTTAAAAAGAAAGAAAGAAAGAAAGAAAGAAAGAAACATTTTTCCCCTTGGGGAAGCTGGTGAGAGAAGAGCCTGGTATGTGCAAGTCCCCAGCTGTGGACAGGGTGTTGGGTGCAGGGACAGTCTGACCCTGGCACAGTTCTGACTCTCTAAGGCCTGAGCTCCTGATCCCTGAAAAATACTTCACCTTTTGCTTGTCTCTCTGGAGCTTCCGGTGCCCACTTTCCTCCCCAGCCATCTGCCCACAACTGACTTGGCAAATAGGAAATTGTGGTTCTCTCCCCTTGCCACTTCCTATAGTTCTTTGGGTTGGGAGGACCGCAGAAAGTGCAGACTCGCAGCACTCTCGGGACTGAGGGGCCTTCAGACTCATCTCAATCAGTGGTTTTCACACTTGCTCCACAGAGCCCCCAAGTTCTGCAGAGTGGTCTCAGATGTTGCCAAAGTGTTGGGGGAAAGGGCAGGGCTTGAGGCCTTGCTTTATTTTATTTACTTTTTTATCCCTCTTTTATGTGATGGGCTTGTGCATACAGATTCACTGGAGAAAAGGCTTCTGCTAACCAAAAGTTTGAAAGCCGCTTTTATAGTCCAGTCTTTCTTTGGGTGGCTAACTACTTCCCCCCTCTTAGTCTTCTCAATGTGTCTCAGCCCTGGGCCCCCATCTCTCCCTCAGGCAGACGCAGTGGCTGGGAGAGGAACCAGAGCTGATGGCTCTTGCTTTCTGCTTGCGTGGAGTTTGCAATGTCTGCCTCCCCTCACCCCTGACTGCTCCTCTTGTCCCAGTTTCTACTTCACTCTTCGTATTTCTTTCCCTATGGGACTGAACATATTTATTCAGTCAACAAATGTTCTTGCACTGTTCTGAACACTCAATATTCACATTTTGTTAAAATTATTTAAGTATGCCTTCTTGTTTCAAGGAAAATGTTAAATTTATTTTTATCATTCTGATTGCCAGGGGAGGTATGTTAGATAGGACAGCCATGGTAATAAATGAATAAATAAATGAATTAAAATGTTCTTTACTTGTCTTAGTTGTTATTCCTCTTAACTATCTGCCTCTGAGGGCTGGGGCAGGAGGGAGGAATAGGAACTTGAAAAGTCAGTCTCAGACATGGATGCACAGGTAATAATACTTATAACAAATGGTCCTGTTCTTTGCATTTTACATAGATGAACTTATTTATCTTCATAATAGCCCTACAATGAAGGTTCTATTAGTACATCTATCCACTCCAAAACTGAGGAAACACAGGCTCAGAGGGGGTAAGTAGCAGGCCCAAATACACAACGGGCAGTGCCTGGCAACTTGCAGCCCACAGCCACTCACCCTGGCATTTCAGGCCCTGCACGAGGTAAGAGTGGTTGGCGTTTTCAGGTGGATCCCTCCTCCTTGGACTCTACCTCTTGCTGCTCTGACAGCAAACTCTCTTCATTCTTGTGGACATCCATCATTTCCGACTCCCGCACCCTATCTCTGCCTCCTTAAATGCTTCCCCGACCTTCACCACGCTGAATTGACTCTCTTCTGTTGCTATGTTCCCCACGCATTCCACCAAGTATCACCTCTGAGTGTGTGTGAGTGTGTGAGTGTGTGTCTGCCTTCTGCTCTGAGCAGGAAGCTTCCTGAGGGCAGGGCTCTGTCTCCGGGAATTCCTTGGGTGAAACAGGATCGCAAGGAATGAGTGGAGTGTTACTGGCAATCACCAGGGCAAGTGAGTGCGTGTATTAAAAAATAATTACTCGCCTCATCCCCAAGTCCTTGGCTCTCCTGGGGATTTGCACCGGGAACAAGAAATCAGCTTTTGACGAGTGTCTGAGGCTGTGTGTAAGGTGGGGTCCCTTGGCTAGTGGTGGAACCAACATTCTCTAGGGGTCTTGTGGTCCTCTCCACTCCAGGGCCCTTCTCCTCCAATACCCCTAGGTTACCACCTCCTCCCCCAATGCATATCCAGGACCCCCAACCTCAGAAAAGCAGAGAATCCAGGAGCAGTGGAGTGGGATGTATGGGGAAACCGGAGCTTCCTGCCCCTTCAGTCTTGACGTTCTGCCCTGATTTCGCCTCCAATATGACTCCCAGGGAAGGGGGGGGGGCATGTGGAGGCTAAGGAGGACGGAGAAGAGAGGTACCGGGGAGGACAGGGAAGGCAGGCAGAAAGAAAGACGTGTGTAGTGGGAGGTGGCAGTGGCTTGACCTCGACTACTCCGGACCCTGCCAGGGCCGGGAAGGGCCCGTGTCTGGGCGGTGGAGGACAACTTCTGCTAGTAGCCCGCGGGTCCCGTCCGCCTTCCGCGCGCTGCGGTGCCCAGCCCCACACCGGCCCTCCCGGGGAGCCGAAGATCAGGCCGCACTGCTCCTCACTGGGGCCATCGCGGCGCCCACCCCCCGTGCCCACCGGCCTCCTCACCTTCAGGACCGGAGGGAGCGACAGGCCAGAGGAGCCCTGGGTCCGCGGGCCGGGCTGGGGGAGGAGCTCTCCTTCCCCGCGCTAGCTGCGCCCGGGGTTCCGCAGCGCCCGCCCCGGCTGCCGCGCCATCAGCTGCTCCGAGGCTGCGGGGCCGTGGCGCCGAGGCTCCGGGGGGCTCCGGGGCGCCGAAGGGGGTCTGGGGCAGCCTCCAGGCGTAAACACCCAGCAACGTGACCGGAACTGGCGAACGAGCCGTAGGGGGGAGCTGAGGGGGCGGGAAAGATAAGGGGGGAGGGGAGGGACCTGGGACTGGCGGGGAGGGGCCGTGGGCGGGGCGGGGGGGGAAGGGAGGCTGCTGGAGCGCGGTCGGGGGAGGGGAGAGGGAACCCCGGGAGCCCTGGGAGCTGGGTCTAAGGACCCCTGCTGCCCACCGAAACTCCCCGAGCTGGTTTTGGCTGGGAGCTGGAAGGGAAACCTGGGGAACCCGCCAGCCAGTTGGCGAGCAGGGGCGCGGCGTGTGGGTCAGCACCGCGGACAGCGCCCAGGCCGTCAGGCTGCGATCTGCGCGGCCCCTCGGCCAGTCCTTGGCAAAGGAACCACAGACGGTGCCCTCATTGGTCAGGGGACAGTTGGGTGGGGGTGAGCTGACCAAGGATCAGGAAGCCTGCCCTGTGCCTAGTTGGCAGCAAAGCTGCCCCATACCGCTCACTAGCTGTATGACCTTGGGTGAATCTTATTACCTCTAGGGGCCCCAGTTGATAAGACACCTTTCCCTCTATGTGAAGGTCTCGAGAGCCAAGAGATGGTACTTTAAAAACTCCAAAGTCCAGATCATTGGTGTCGATCTTTTTTTCACTGCACATGGAAGGCTTCTGAAGCCAGGCTGTTTGGCTTCTAACCCTGACTCTATCAATACTTTCCTTCTTTCTGGGCTTCAGTCTCCTTATCCATAAAATGGGATAATGATGGTTTATGCAACAGAAGATCTTTACGTTGTTGTGAGGATTAAATAAATTTATATCTGTAAAGTGCTTGAAACAGTGCCGAGTTGTCATTAGGCATTTATGCTCATGATGGCAAGGGACCAGGTGACATTGTGTGAGTGGCTGGTGACTCACAGCTCCCTCTGGGTAAGTCCTTTCCACCCCACCTTCCAGGGAAAGCACCATCCACTCCAAGGACAGGATCTCTGTGAGAGTGTCATGAGGTCAGAATGAAAGGGTTTCAAACAGTGCTTGTGAATGGGATTGTTTTTACCAAGCTCTGTATGTTGTTTTCCTTGATGTGTTATCAAGATGGATCCTGGAGCTCTGACTTTTCACCACCTGATGCAAAGAACTCCAGATGCCTGTCTGAGGGGTGGCCCTGCCTGTTCCTGGTGGTGCGCAGCCTTGTCCCAAGGAGTGCTTCCAGTTGGACATGAATGGCCTGGCCTCTAGGGCTGTCCTCAGGACTCTTGCAGCATCTTTGGCTGAAAAACATTCACAGGCGAAAGGACAAAAGATGTGCACAAAGCACCCATACAACAACTGCAAGTGATGAGCTGGCAGAGCTGAGAGGCAGCCAGGTAAAGGCAGAGCTGGGAAATGAACTTGGGGGTCAGGGAACTAAAGGACACATCCTTGGAGGAGTTAACAATCAGTCAGTCAACACACAGAGTAATATCAAACAAGGCTGGTTGCATGGAACTCTTTCTGGAGTTGTGGGGAGACACGGGGACACATTATAAATTACGGAGATGATGACAGTAGTGATCAACATTTATTATGTACTTTCTATGTACCAGGCAATCTACTAACTACTGTTTGAAAATCGTTTTTCTGTTTTCAACTTTAAACTTGTAACAAAGCCAATGCAAGCAAAAGTGTATAAAAAGTATACAAGTACATCTTGCCTCAGACATAACCATTGTTTTGAGCTGAGCACTTTACCCAGTTAATCTCATTGAAACTTCAGAGAAATCCTATTGGAAATTTAACACCACCCAGTTTGTAAGCAGTAGGGCCAGGATTCAAGTCCCAGTCCGGCCAAAGCCAGAGGTGAGCTTCCTTCTGTCCTTCAGTGAAGAGATGGACCCACTTGTGCAGAAAGCTTTAGGGGGAGGTAGGAGCCTTGAATGCCAGTTAAAGTGGTGAGTTGAGGCGACAGGGAAGGTCTGCAGGCTCCCTCCATCTCTTCATGAGGTTGGAATACTGACTTTTTGAGTCCTGTTTGGGCAACAACTCTGCATGGGTCGGTGTACTGGCAGGGAACAGATGGTACATTTGAAATGGATCATTTGTTTAAAAAAATGAAGAAAGCTAACAAAAGGATCATTTGGGAGCCAGAGTTTAAGGACAGGGATAGGCAGAGCTGTTATCAACCCTAGGCCTGGAGGGACAAGGGAAGAAGTAGTTATTGGACCTCAGAGAGGATAGATTTTAGGGGAGGGCTGTGGCTTTCCCTCAGGAAGTAACTGATCCACAGGGAGCTGTCGGGCAGTGAGCTGAAGAATCAATAGCCAGTCGTCGCTCCCTCCTGTCTCCCAGTTTTCTACGGTGCCTCCTCCAGTCAGTCTCTGTCAGAACCAGAAGTGAGGGGAGCCCGTTGACATTGTTTGTACAGGTTGATTTCCCAGGACACGGCCGAGTGGACCGAGGTGAGAAAAGTTTCTGGAGGGACGAGGTATCTGGTACAACCTTCCTCGTCTGCTTGGGCTCAACTTGCTGCTCTCCCCCAACTGCTGTGCATTGAGTGCTCCAGCATCGGTGGCCACCAAGGCCCCTTCTCAGTGCAACAAAGAGGCAGTGACAGTGTTCAAGTTGTAGCCTCTTTTGTCAAAGATTCTGGTCATGTGTCCCGGCTTCTCAGTCCAGTTTGGGCCCCCAGAAAACCACCCAGTTTTGGTTCCTTGGGATTCTGTGGCTAGAGGGATGGTGTGTTGGGGGCTCTGGGACTGGAGAGCCAACCAGAGGTTACTGTGGATGAGCTTACAATAAGCTTCTTAGCCAGTATACTTGCTGTGCCTGATTTAGACAAAATGGCCCCTAAAATCTCAGTTCTGACTTCCAGAGTTTCTGATTACTCCTAAACCACTGGCATGGCAACAGGAATGAGCTGTTGTGTGGAGTGTGTGTGTGAGTGTGTGTGCTGGGTCACGGTTTGACCTCAAACACAAACCCTTTGCCTCAACCTTGCTCACATCCTCCTCCATCTACCCATCTATGGGACAGAGCTGAGGGGCTCACCTGACAGGCGTCGTTGAAGGCGCCACTGCCTGTGCCCTAAATCTCTCCATGTCAGATCACTTTCCATGGTCTTGGGCAACCAACTCCCACAGTCTTTGGTGATCTGCTACAACTGTGGCCCCCTTTTTTTCCTTCCTTCTCCCTTTAGCTTTGCCAGGCATGATGCTCTACCTTTTACTTTAAATGCACAACTTCCTATAGCCAGTTCTTGTTAACATTATGTTTTATTAGAGAAGTATTAGAATTGCTCTTTAGTAAGGTTGAGAAATGCAATAAAAGAAGACATATCTATAATCCTACTGCCCTAATGCAACTAGTATTATTTCTGTGAATTGTTTACTAACTCACGATGATTTACATAGCTGTTTTCATGCAAAACTATCTCATTTTGTTCACCTACATTGTATCATAACTTTTTTTATGTTTCTATATAGCCTTCACCATTCTTGCCACCTCTTAAAGATAATTGGCTATTTGTGATTGGTTTTTATCTTTTATTATTTGAAATACATTATTATTTTAAAATAATCTGAAATTTTTCTAATGAAGAAAAAGAGGAGCCTACAATCTCATCATCCAGGTAATATGGATTTACATACATTATTATCCAGGGAATTCTTTAAAATACTTTATAAACTAGGACATACTGATTCTTAAAAGTTAAACACTACTCACCCTACATCCTCAACTTTTCTGCCCACAGCGTTCTGCCATGAACAAATTCTATGTGCGCGCACACACGCACACACACAGTTGTTCATTTCTGAGGCACTGGCGGGATCGCACAGCACTGCACCCTGCTTTGCCTCCTGCTTTTCCTGCTTGTATCTGGAGACCTCCTGAAGATCACTTTATGTTTTCATTTGCTAATCAATACCTATGTCTTAAAAATTATTTTTTTCTCCTCATGTAGTGTAGAAAAATGAGGAATTCTAGACAAGTAAAGAAATTAAAACAAAAGTGCCTGTTTATACCTCCCAGTCATAACAACTCCCAGCATTTTGCAAAGAGCCCCTTTTTCTTGTACACATAATGTCATACATATCTTAGACATCTTACTCCGCAGCCCTCCTTTGAACTCAGCAGCACAGCTTGGACATTTGTCTCCCGTGCACGGTGCTGTCCCACCTTGTGGGCGAACCCCAGTGTGCCGAGTCTGCCTGTCCCCTATTGTTTAAATGCCCAGTCATTTCTATATTTTAGTGTTATAAACAGTGACATGATGATCACCCTGGTAGTTGAATTATTTAAAAAGTGACTTTTATTGTATTTTTTCTTAGTGCACATGTCACATGTTTATTTAGAAAAAGTAGACTATATATAAGAAAAAGAATAGAATAGAATTCACTAGAACTTTATCTGCCCAGAGATAAATCACTTTTTTATATATTCCCGAAGTTCTTCCAGATTTTTCAGTGAATATATTAATATGCTAGTTCTGTTTGGTAACATTTTTTTACTTTGAAATATATCTTTTTTTTAACAAAGTTGAGTTACAGTTCCCATATAACATTATATTTGTTTCAAATGTATAACATAATGACTCAGTATATGTGTACATTGTGAAATGACCACCACGGTAAGTATAATTAACACCCATCACCACACATAGTTACAATTTTTTCTTGTGATCTACTCTCTTAACAACTTTCGAATGTACCATATGGTATTATTAACTAGAGTCACCAAGCACAAGGATTGGACCAATTGGACTTTAAACTTAGTCAAGGTCAGGAGTGTCCACTTTCCTTCTCAATACAAACCCTGTGTGGGGTAATTAAAAACCAATCAACAGTTCCAAATTTGACAAGTAAAAAAATGGTATCACATTTAACTTTTCAAGTGCTTAATTTCTAGCAAGATCAAATTTATAAAGTGTGTGTATTC